AGCAGGCAGCAGGGCGCCTTCCTTGTTCCTTTCTCTCTCTCTCTCTCTCTCTCTCTCTCTCTCTCTCTCTCTCTCTCTCTCTCTCTCTCTCTCTCCCCCCCCCCCCTCACTTATTTGTGAGACAGAGTCTCACTACATACATAGCCCTAGCTGACTCAGAATTCACTGCGTAGACTAGGCTGGCCTCCTCATATCTCTGCCTTCTGGATGCAGTTATGACAGCTTGTGCGCCACCATCCCCAGCCTGGCGAGTTGTTTTTCAGTCCTCCTCTGGAATAACAATGTTCTAGTCTCTGGCAGGCTTCTCTCCTGGAGGTCTGACAAGTCCCAGAAGGCCAAACAATGGGGTAATCCATTAGGGAAGAGAAGGGATGACTTCATTAGAACAAAATATTCTCATTCAGCATTTGCAAAGGCCTCAAACTGCCTTCCAAAAGCGAATCTACCAGGAACAGCAAACCTAGCAAGAGAAACAGGTTTTCTACCCTGTATGGTTAATCCAAAGCTATTAGCCCTTACACAAACACTAACTGAAGAGCTGCAAATGAAGTATCCACTTTATTTAATAGTTGATCTGCCTCTTCACCCAATGATTAAAAATATATTCACACATTTTTCACAGTGTAAGGAGGACAGAGTGAAAATCCACAGAGCAGAAGTGTTGGTGGTTCTCACCATGGTTATGACTAAAGGCACGCTCTTATCAGCCAGTTCAGAGGCTTGCCAGGAAAAAAAAAAAAGATACCAAGTTAAACTGGATTTTTTTTTTTGATACCACATAACTCTTTATTTTCTAAACTGGATTTTTAAAAATTTATTTATTTATTTATTTTTTTTTTGGTTTTTCGAGACAGGGTTTCTCTGTGTAGCCCTGGCTGTCCTGGAACTCACTCTGTAGACCAGGCTGGCCTCGAACTCAGAAATCCACCTGCCTCTGCCTCCCAAGTGCTGGGATTAAAGGCGTGCGCCACCACTGCCCGGCCAATTTTTAATATTATATCTAATAGCTATCTAATATATGCAGCTGTTTTCCCTGGATGTATGCCTGTGTATCATGTGAGTGCCCAGTGCCTGCCAGAAGAGGTCACTGGATCCCCTAAGACATGGAGTTACAGAGAGTTGGGAGCTGCCATGTGGGTGCTTGGAATTGAAACTGGATCCTCTGAAAAAGCAGCCAATGCTCTTAATCAGTGAGCCATCTCTCAAGTCATAAATTCTAATTAAACAAGGACAGGATCATTTTAGCTCATTGTTGAAGGGTAAGCTCCCCACAGTGACAGTTACTTAAAGCAGCTGGTCATCCTGGGTCCTCCATCAGGAAGCAGAGGTCAGTGAATCCCCAGTATAGATGTTTGTTTTAGCATCAAATGCATCTCCAATATTTCATGTAAATCCTTATATTAAAAATGTGTGTGTTTGCAGGGTGGTGGTGTTAGATGCCTTTAATCCCAGCACTTGGAAGGCAGAGGCTAGTGGATCTCTGTGAGTTTGAAGCCAGTCTGGTCTACAGAGTGAGTTCCAGGATAGCTAGGGCTACACAGAGAAACTCTGTCTCAAAAAACTAGATAGATAGATAGATAGATAGATAGATAGATAGATAGATAGATAGATGATAGATAGATAGATAGATAATATAAAACCATATGCTTATATTAAAATGAGCACTTGCTGTTCTTTTTTTTTTTTTAAAGATTTATTTATTTATTTTATTATGAGTACACTGTAGCTGTCTTCAGACACACCAGAAGAGGGCATCCAATCTCTTTATGGATGGTTGTGAGCCACCATGTGGTTGCTGGGATTTGAACTCAGGACCTCTGGAAGAGCAGTCCGTGCTCTTAACCACTGAGCCATCTCTCCAGCCCCCGCACTTGCTGTTCTTAAAAAAAAAAAAAAAGTTAGTTTCCTAGACCCACATGGCAATTCACAACAACAGATTAACACTAATTCCGGGGGATCCAATGCTCTCTTTTGGCCTCCAAGGGCACTATTCACATGTGGTACACAGACATACATGTAGACACTCTTACATACACATAAAATAAAACTCTTCTTTAAAAACACATAAGGAGAGCTTATAATCATATTGACATTATAAATTTCTCATCTGAACCCTGGGCCTTGCATCTACATCACCATTGGATAATGATGGATTCGTAAGTAATGTCATCAATCCTGCTTTCAAACTGTGAAGACTGCGACCACTCTCATTTAAATGGCTTGGTTGATTTGTGTCTTTGTTCATTTATTTTTGAGAAAAGGTCTCACTATATCCCGGGCTGGGTTCAAACATGCAACTACATAGAACTACATAGAATGACCTTGAACTTCTGATTCTGGCTTCACCTTTGCAGTGCTGGGATCAGAGGCTGGTGTTCCCTGCTCCAACTTTATGTGACACTGAGACAGAGCCCAGGGCTATGTGTGCCTATTAATCAAACACACTGCCAACTGAGCTGCAACCTCAGCTCTTGAGCTGTTTGATTTAGAAGCCACTTTAAAATAGCTTGTGTTTGCACCAATCTTTTTTTCAGGGAGGGGGGAGAGTTGACTGGCATTCTCTCGTGTTTAGTTTTCAACATAGGAAACCCAAAAGAGATTCTATTTTGATTTTCCTATAGCCAGGTTGCTTAAGTTGATAGAAGACAGCATAGGGTAATCAATGCCTTAGTCACTGTTCTATTGATATGAAGAGACGCCATGACAAAGGTAACTCTTATAAAGGTAAGCATCTAACTAGGGGCTGGCTTACGGTTTCAGAGGTTTAGTCCATTATCATCATGACTGGGTATGTCAGGGCATGGTACGTTCTGCTGCATAGTCAGCAAGCAGAGGAAGAAAGAAACACTGCACCTCCAAGCCCACCCCCAGTGACATACTTCCTCCAACAAGGCCACGCCTCCTAATCCTCCTAATCCTTTCAAACAGTTCCACTCCCTGGTGACTAAGCACTCAAATGTATGAGCCTATGGGGGCCATCCTCATTCAAACCATCACAGTTAATTTCAACTGACTCCATAAAAATCACCTTGTCACCCAAGTTGTGGTGGCACAACCCTTTAATCCCAGCACTTGGGAGGCAGAAGCAGGCAGATCTCTGTGAGTTTGAGGCCTGCCTGGTCTATAGAGCAGGTTCCAGGACAGCCAGGGTTCCACAGAGAAACCCTGTCTGAAAAAAAAAAAACACAAAAATAAAACAAAAATAAAACCAAAATTAGCTTGTCTCATCAAATATTTCAGATACTTTACATATGATATCTGAAATTAGATACTTGTGTGCAGAATAGAGTAGCAAGCAATCTGTGTTTTGTGAGAAGTTACTTTGAGAGTGATATTGGCAAGATTATGACAGGTGGCAGCCAAGAGTTGACATACCACACAGAGAAATCAGTAATGGTTTCTATTTCTCTCTCTTGCCTCTGGTACTGGCTCAGTATACTCTGAGCATAGCCATTATTTAAAAATGATTCAAGCTGACATTCTAGACCCAATTCTGCCTCTACTGTGAAAATCAAAGCTTAAATTTATTTATTTATTTATTTATTTATTTATTTATCTATCTATCTATCTATTTATTTATTTGGTTGGTTGTTAGCTAGGGTCTGTCTATGTGACCCTGGCTTTCTGAAACTCTGTAGACCAGGCTGGCCTCTAACTCACAGAGATCCAACTGCCTCTGCCTCCACAGTGTGTGAATCAAAAGTGTGTACCACCATAGCTGGCTTGAAAATTATTTTATTTATTTACTTATTCATGAGCAGCAAAATTTTTGGTTTGTTTGCTTTTAATTTTTCTTTTTCTCTCTCTCTCTGTGTGTGTGTGTGTCAATTTTTATATGTACCATGTACAAGTAGGTGTTTCAGGAAGTCAGAGGGTACTGATGCTGTGACATATAATACTGTGAGGGGTACCTAGAGGGCCCATGTGCCAAGGTGTGCCCCTGAGACATTAAGCCACGCAACAGAGCTGGTATAAAGAAGGTTTATTGGGGGAAGGGAGAAGAGCAAGAACCTGGGGAAGGGGCAGAGGCAGACAAGTGGACATGTTGACAGACAGACAGACAGACAGAAGGGAGCAGAGTCATAGAGGCAAAGAAGGGGGTGTGGGCAGAGAAGGACAGAAAAGGAGAGAAAGAAAATGCTGGGAACACATGGGAATAGAGAGAGCTGGAGTGGTGGGCAGTCCTTTTATAAGCAGTCCATTCTTGTCACACCTGGTAGTGGCAGGTGATGGTGGCAGATGACAACTTAAGCCCTTGCTAGGTCCTTCTGAGGAGCCTAATGGAATCATCTATAAGCTAACAGTTGGATCACATGGAAATGGAGTTACAGGGAATTAAGAATCATCTGATGTAGGTGCCGGGAACTGAACCTGGGTCCTTTGCAAGAGCAATAGGTGCTGTAATTACTAAGCTAGCTCTTCAGGCGCTGTTTGTTTAATTTTGAGGCAGGATCTCACACAGTAACCTAAGATGGTCTAAAGCTCCTTAGGAAACTGAAGCTGACTTTGAATTCATGGTGACTCTCCTACCTCTGTCTCCTGAGTATTGGGATTAGAGATATGGGCTATCACCTGCCTGGCATTGTCATATAATGTTTTTTTCCAGATAGAGTCTTATGTAGCTTAGGCTAGCCTCCTGTCTCCATATCTCAAGTTCCAGTTGTATAGATAGATATGACCCGCCATAGCCTGCTTTCATAATATTTTTTTAAATATTTGTTTATTTAGCTGGGCATGGTGGTATATGCCTCCAATCCCAGGGCTCAGTGGGCAGAGGCAGGTACCTCTCTGTGAGTCTAAATCCAGCCTGGTCTACATAGCAGTTCCTGGCCAACCAGATCTCCATAACTAAGGACCTGTCTCAAAAACAAAAACAACAATCCAACAAAAATGTTTATTCCTGTGACTACACGTATAGGGCCCAGCAGGTTTGTGTCAGAGGAAAGCTTGGGAAGCTGTTCTCATCTTCTACCTTGTTGAATCAGAGTTGCTCTTGGTTTGGGTGCTCTGCTATGTTGTGCCCGAGGCGACATGACCCAGCAGCTTCTAGGACCTAGAATCCCGTGGTTTGTCCTGTGGTGAGACAGAGCAAGCCTTAGTTTGGGTGTCTCTTCCCCTTGGAGGCAAACCCACTGATCCTTTTATGGTGGCTCTGCTTTCTTAAGCTCACCTGATGTTCACTTCCTCCCCAGGGTCCCACTTCCCACCATCATTTAGATGATGAACTGGGAGGCTGTACCAAAATAACTGGGGATGAATACCTTATAAAGAAAACAGGTTGGTTTAGCTGGTGTTTGTAAAGGTTTGTGAAGGATGCTCTGGTAACTACCTGACTCTCTTCTGATAATCTAATCACCTCCCACCAGGCTCCACTTCTGGAAGGTTCCACTACTCTCGCTGCTTCGGACTTCTAGGACATAAACCCCCAGTGGGCCCTCAGAAACTCTATCTGAACCATAGCATAGGGATGGTTAAATCACTGCAATGTGGCATTTGAATGGGAGAGATGGTTCCGGAGACAAACCTCTTGCTGTGAGAAATTGAGCTGGAATTCCAGAAACCACATAAAGCTGGAATCAGTAGTGTGCATCTGTGATTCCAACACTCCTGCTGAGAGGTGGAGACAGGAGAATATCCAGAAACTCTTGAGGCAGGCAGTCTGGTCTTTGCAACCAGGAACAACAAAAGAGACTCTGCCTCAAAAAAGGTGAAAGGCAAACAGACACCAGAGGTTATTTTACAATCTTCACACTCCAATCAAGTGAGCCAAACCCTAGCACACACATTCACACACACACAGGCACACATGTGCGCACACATACACGCACGTGCACCCTCGAACACACACACACATAGATGCAAGAAGTTTTCTATGAGTTTAAGACCAGCTTGGGCTATGGAGTGAAATCATGTTTTAAAAAAAGGAAATAAGTGCCTGGCAGTGGTGGCGTACGCCTTTAATCCCAGCACTTGGGAGGCAGAGGCAGGCGGATCTCTGAGTTCGAGGCTAGCCTGGTCTACAGAGTGAGTTCTAGGACAATCAGGGCTACACGGAGAAACTCTGTCTCAAAAAAAAAATTAAAATAAAATAAAATAATAAATAATAAGAAGAAATGAAGTGTAAAATTCTGATTGGGAAGAAGCTGAGTGCTCTGTACTTCAGCGGGCTCAGCTGACCCTCTAGGAAGCAGTGAACCTGCATAACCCTCAAGACTTTCTGAATTCAGGCAAGGGGCTAGGTCTTTATGCACCTATGTGCATTTAGACTTTGGATACAAGCTAGCATGAGAAAAGGGAGTGACCTTAGCCCAGCTGAGATAATCACTGAAGTGGACTGACAGTTAAGGGTTGCTTGCTGGCTGCCTTCCCAACAGCTGAGGACAAGGTCTTTCATGCTGAAAGGAGAATCATAGCAATTATGGGAAGTGCTCATTCATGGCTTTTAGTTCATTCATTCATCTTGGTAAAGAATCTGTTCAAATCTTGCCATTCAATGCATCATTTATAGCTATTCCTTATATTATCTGGGTTGAAATGCTTTATCAAGTATGCGAATACTTGTATTTTCCCCTCCTTAATGGTTAATTTATTTTTTTTTTGTTTTTAATCTTTTGGAATTTTGTTTTGTTTTTGGTTTTTTAATTCTTTGTTTCTCTGTGTAGTCCCCTGTCCTGGAAATCATTGTGTAGACCAGGCTGGCACTGAACTCTCAGAGATCTGACTACCTCTGCCTCCTTAGTGTTAGGATTAAAGGTGTGTGCCACCACCACCCTGCCATTTTTAGGTTTTTTTAAGATTTGTATTATTTAGTTATGTGTAAGTGTGTATTGTATATCTGCATGTGGGTTTGTGCACACAAAACTGTGCATGTGAGTGTATGTACTCTCGGAAGCATTAGATTTCCCTGGAGCTGAGTTACAGATGGTTGTGAGTTGCCTGAAAAAGAATTTTAAACTTTGATGGTCTAATATGATACACACACACACCATATACTCACACATATCACACAAAAATTAAATTATATATAATTTAAGAGCTAGAAAGAACTTCAAGGCCGGGCAGTGGTGGCGCACGCTTTTAATCCCAGCACTTGGGAGGCAGAGACAGGTGGATTTCTGAGTTTGAGGCCAGCCTGGTCTACAGAGTGAGTTCCAGGACAGCCAGGGCTACACAGAGAAAACCAAAAAAAAAAAAAAAAGAACTTCAAAGATTATCTAGTTCAACAATGAATTTTACCTAAGAAATCAAGGCTCTGAGAGATTCTGGAGACAAAGAAAGGATTTGACGGCATTATTGAGGTAAGGCAAGCGACCACAAAATACGAATGTCCTTTATTCAATATTTTTTATTTATTTAAGAAAATTGTACGTGAGCCAGCTGATGGTGGCACAAACCTTTAACCCCAGTATTCAGGAGACAAACGCAAATGGATCTTTGTGTTTGCGGCCAGTCTGATCTATGGAGTGATTTCCAGGACAGCCAGGGCTACATAGAGAAACCCTGTCTCACAGAAGCAAACAAATTTATGTCAAGGTTCATGTTTGTGTACCAGGTTCATGCAGGAGTCCTCGGGAGCCAGAAGATGGTGTTGAAGCTTCTGGAAACAGAGTTACTGGAAGTTATGAGTTACTAGTGGATGCTGGGAACTGAACCCCTGAACCGGGGGCCTCTTATAGGAACAGCCAGTGTTTTTAACTTACGAGCCCTCTCTGCAGTTCCCGTCTACCCTTCTCACCGACTTTCCTTACATACACTGCAGTGTGTGTGTGTGTGTGTGTGTGTGTGTGTGTACTTTTGGAGGATATGTGTGTGCTCCTTGTATGTGAGCATCCCTCCCTGCCTCATTTCTATGATGATGTGTGTTTTCTGTGTTACCACTTCCTCTTCTTTTTCTAGATTTTTCTCTGCTTTCATTCTCTTCTCATCCCTGTAGAATCTGGTTCCCTTTTTAAGGACTGGACTGGTGATCATTTTTATGGGATATATAGATTCATTCAGTGCAAAGCAAATATAAACAACTTGAAAGAAAGCATGGCAAACTTATTTTCAGAGCTGGATAACTGTTGTGCTAGCATTTCATGCACATTGGTTGAGCAAAGCGAGCTAAGCATCCATGTTGGCCACGTGGCATAGCATTATTGAGCATTCTATGTATTGTACTATTCAGAAGCCTTTTATTATGTATATTCATTTGCTTCCACTCTGTCTGTCCTCCTACCCTTCTTCTTCCTTTGCTTTTTGTTTTGTTTGTTTGTTTTTGTTTCGAGACAAAGCTCTCACTTTGTAGCCCTGGCTGGGATTCACCTTATAGACCAGGCTGGCCTGGGACCTACAGAGTTAGTTCTGCCTGCCTCTGCCCCCAGAGATTAAGGCCCTTTATTGTTGTGGCTTATTATTAAATTATTTTATGTGTATGGATATCCGTGTCTTGTCTGAGTCTGCGGAGGATACTGGATCCTTTGGAACTGAAGTTACAAATGGTTGAGAACCATCATGTGGCTGCTGAACCCACAGCACCTCCAAGTGCTCGTAACTGCTGCACCTTCTCTCCGACACCACCAACCTTTTTTGTTGTTGTTGGTGGTGGTTGTTTCTTATTTCTTTGTTTGTTTTACAATAGGTTTCATGTAGACCAGGCTGGCCTTAAATTCTAATTCACTCCCTAACCAAGCCTGGCCTTTAGTTCCTGATCCTCTAACCTCTACCTGCCAAGTTGCTGGGCTTACTGGTGTGTCCCCTCACATCCGGCCTTTCCTTTTCTTTAATTCACATTTGTTCACTAGCGCACATATCAATACAACTGGTTTGTGTTTTCATGTTCTAGCTAGTTTTTTTGTTTGTTTGTTTGAGGTAGAATGTAGCTCAGGCTGGCCTCAAAATTTGTATCCACCTGCCTCAAGCTCCTGAATGTTGGATTTACAGGCATAGGCCACAATGCCTGGTCAATGATCTAGCTTTAAATTCAGAGTAAATGCTTCTGTGGTATGTGTTAAAAACGGGCAGTAGTAGAACAGCTGAGTTCTATTCTGGCCCTTCTCTGCCTATGTCAACTGCCAGAATTCCTGTCCTAGTTAAGAGGCGGAAGTTATTCAAGAGGGTCCTTAGCAATGCCCAGCATCCACTTAAAAATGACAGGTCAGCCACAGGTATTTTACTGTAACAGAATAGCTTGAAAAAAACAATAAGAGAAAGTTCCAGAAGTTACTACTTCCTCAGGAGTTAAAATATTTTTTATTGCTGGGCGGTGATGGTATACAGCATGCCTTTAATCCCAGCACTTGAGAGGCAGACATAGTCAAGATATCTGTGAGTTCAAGGCCAGTCTGGTCTATATTCCAGGACAGCCAGAGCTACATGGAGGAAACATGTATGTGTGTGTGTATTAATTATTATATATATAATTTTAATTATATATTATAACTAGTTATAATATATAATTATTATATGTAATTATATAATATTGTATACTTATTATTGTATAATTATTATATATTATATATAATTATTTTTAATTATCATAATAATTATTATATATAATTTTTTCTCATTTGAGATAGGGTCTCATGCCTCTGCCTCCCCAGTGCTGGGATTACCAGTGTATGTCACCAAGCTCAGCTTTCATAGTATCTTGGAGAGACACAAATCCTTGTCATACAAATAGGTGACCCTTAGATATCTTGGGAATGTGTAAAGCTAGTTGAAGCATACCTAAAGATAGAAACTGTGTCACACAGTAATCTCAGCACCAGAGAGGTGGAAACAGGAGAGTAGGAAGTTCAGTACCAGCCTCTGCCACCCGTTAAATTCAAGGCCAGACTATGTTGCATGCCACCTATTTCAACAAACAGAAAAAAGGGGAAAGTTAGTTGTTGTTGTTGTTGTTGTTGCTGCTGTTTTATTAGATTAGGGGCTAAAGATATGACTCAGGGGCTAAGAGCACTGGCTTCTCTTCCAGAGAACCAATGTTCTGTTCTCAGCACTGCATGGCAGTCACAAGCACACGTAACTCCAGTTGCAGTAGATCTGATGCCCTCTTCTGGTCTCCTGGTCACTGCACGTATATTGTGCACAGACACAGGTGCAAGCAAAACATCTGTACACCAACAATTACATTTTGAATATTTTTTACAAATAAAAATTTCTCGATGGTTGTGTTGGTTCACACCTTTAATCCCAGCACTTGGGAGACAGAGGCAGGCAGATCTCTGAGCTTGAAGCCAACCAGGTCTACAGAGCAAGCTCCAGAACAGCCAAGGTTTCACAGAGAAACCCTGTCTTGAAAAACCAAAATAAATAAATAATAATAAAATAAAATCTGTCACTGGATATAATGGTGCAAGCCTTTAATCTCAGTGCTGAGAAGGAAACATGGACCTTTCTCTACCCAAAAATCAAAGAAGTCAAAAAGGAAAATGATGCTTTCACTTTACCATGTGAACTAGAGAGGAAGAGAGAAAGGAATCAGCAGTAGTCTGTCCTAAGGAATGGTTCAGGTGACAGCCAGTTACCTAGAAGCAGGGATATGGCTCTGGTTACGAGTGATTTTTTTCCCACCAGTAACTGTCATCACAGTTTCCAGAAAAGTGGCCAAGCAATAGCAGGAGTTAGCATTTCACTCAACCACTCCCACACACACTCAGAGGCCCTGGAACTTTTCCCAACTGCTCTCTACTCTTTGCCCTCCCGCCTTTCCTTTCCTCCCTCCCACCCCCATCCCATTTCAGATAAACAGGCAAGGTGTTTGACTCACCTTGAGTAGAGGCCTTCAGCTGTGAAAGGCACCTCCCTCTGTAGGAGCTCTTTAATCTCAACTGTTCCTAAGAATCAAAAAACCCCAAGGATAAACATTTTGTCCTCCTTTTGCTTTTCCCTTCTCCCCTGGTGGCCTCTCCTCCAAACAATACCCTAGCTATTTAGACACTTAGCACTCTCCCGAAGCTAGCAACCCAGGCCTCAGTTTCATTTCAACAAAGTGTGACTTGATTAGGTTGTACCCCAACACCTCAGCAAGGCCTGGCTGTTATTGGGTCCTAATGGATGTTTGAATAGCCTTGCCTCAGTTGGCCTCACTGCCTGACAGGCCAACTGCTTCCTGCCCTGGAAGATCCACCCAGAGACCAGAAGACAGAGAGAGGCTCCATGCATCAGAGGGAAAGAGCTTTCCTGTACTTCCTTCTGCCTCACACATTCTCTGCCACAGGCTGAAGGAGTCCAGAACCAAGTAGATTGGCTAACGGAACAGGCCGTGTGGGATAGGATGAGACCGAGGACTGGATTAGAGTACAGGGACCATTACAACAGTGACACTAGAAGTTAGTAGGGGCCGGGCGGCGGTGGTACACGCCTTTAATCCCAGCACTTGGGAGGCAGAGGCAGGCGGATTTCTGAGTTCGAGGCCAGCCTTGTCTACAGAGTGAGTTCCATGACAGCCAGGACTACACAGAGAAACCCTGTCTTGAAAAACCAAAAAAAAAAAAAAAGTTAGTAGGGATCCAAGTAAAACTAATACAAGAGCAGATTGTCTGCTAGGGTAGGGATGACCGCTACTCTGTGTCCAAGGCCAGCCTGCCACTTACAGGAAGGACAAGGCTACACAGAGAAATCCTGTCTCACCTGTCTCAAAAAAACAAAAAAGGAAAAAGAAAAAAGAAAGAAATGATCCCTAACGATACAGAGCTGGCTCAGCACATACAGGAAGCCAATACACCAGTGCGGACATAGTGGCCTTCACATCTGTAATCCCAGCACTCACACTGTGAGGAGTGGCACAGAACTGTCCAGAATCTCCATCATCAGCTACCGTAAAGTATGCAGCAGCAGCAGGAATGAGGGATCCTGATGTGTTTATAAAAAGATAAAGAGATATGGGAATTTGTTCTACGGGTGTGTAGTGAGATATGTGGTAAGGGGATGTCTCAGCGGGCCCATGCCTAGGCAAGGCATCCCTTCCCCCAAGGGACCAGTGACAGGACAACAAAGTATAGATAGAGTTTATTCAGGGTGTGGGGAGGGGAGTTAAGAGGGTAGTAGAGGCAGAGAGAGGCAGAGAGAGAGAGAGAATGAGAGAGGGGGGAGGGGAGGGGGGAGGAAGAAAAGAGGGGAGAGGGGGGGAGAGGGGAGGAGAGGGAAGAAGGGGGGAAAGGGGAGGAGAGGGAAGAAGGGGGGGAGAAGGGAAGAGAGGGAAGAAGGAGGGAGAGGGGAGGAGAGGGAAGAAGGGAGAGGGGAGAGGAGAGAAGAGAGAAGTAGAGGCTGGCCATGAGCATGTGGAGAGGGAGGAAGGGAAGGGGGAAGGGAAGAGGGGAGGAGAGGACAGAGGGATCGAGAGATCAAAAGACCAAGAGAGACAAGAGGAAGGGGCAAGCAGCCCCTTTTACAGTGGGCCAGGCCCACCTGGCTATTGCCAGGTAACTGTGGGTGTGGAGTTTAGGCAGAATGCTAACAGCTCCTGCCCCAGCAAGGTGAGACCCAGGAACCATCTCCCACAGGCTGACCTCCACGTACTTGCTGTGAGGCCTGCACATGCGCAGGAATGGCACACTATGCACAGGGCACGCACTCTTGTACAGACCCACACACCAAATAGAGCAACAGATCAATTGATTAATGTAATTTTGGGGGAAGATTCAAGGGAAGGGGGGAGAATCTAATCGAAGTTGAAAGCTGGAATCAAGGCATTCAGAATAATCTAGACGACATTTTCAGGGACTGGTGGGGGAATGAGTTTCGGAGGTCAAAAGCCTCCCTCAGAATTGCTGGAGGGTCTGAATAGCTGAAGAGGGACTTTTCACCAAGGACGGCTTCAATGATGCCTTTACATACAGCTGTGTTTGGGGCTTAGCTTCAGAAGTGTGTAATGTGGGTTGCTTAGTGGGTGTGTGGGTCAGCCCCAGATCGGCAGTATTAATATGTTAACAATATCAATGAATTAAAACGGTGCAAGAATATGTGAATAAGAAAATGAGCTTGAGCTGGGCGGTGGTGGCGCACGCCTTTAATCCCAGCACTCGGGAGGCAGAGGCAGGCGGATTTCTGAGTTCGAGGCCAGCCTGGTCTACAGAGTGAGTTCCAGGACAGCCAGGGCTACACAGAGAAACCCTGTCTCAAAAAAAAAAAAAAGAAAAGAAAAGAAAATGAGCTTGAGGGCTGGAGAGGTAGCTCAGCAGTTGAGAGCACTGACTGCTCTTCCAGAGTTCCTGAGTTCAATTCCCAGCACCTACATGGTGGCTCACAACCATCTCTAATGGGATCCAAAGCCCTCTTTTGGTGTGTCTGAAGACAGCTACAGTGTGCTGAAGAAATAATTAATTCTTTTTTTTTTTTTTTAAAGAAGAAAGAAAATGAGATTGAAAAGATATGGTCAGCTCAGAAAATCTTCCCAAATAAGGATCTCAAAGGCTAAGTGTCTTCCTGACCTCTGCCCTGCTTTCCTTTGACCCTTTAATGCTCTCCCAGGCAAGCCACACAGACCGTAGGAGTCCTCCTCTCCAAGGCAGATCACAAGGGTAACAGAGGAAAAACAGCCCTTTCTCCCAAAGCCAGCCACATAAGCTCAAAAGAACGCTGTAGCTTCCCGCACCTCCCTATGTGAGTTGACATAAAGAAACTTCTACTTTACATTTTGATTGCAACCTATTACCCCACCCTGTAAGGAGGAACATTGCATCGACCAGGAATCTCAACAGACAGGCCTTGTGGGTTTTTCCCTTCATCTATTACCCTTCAGTCACACCCTTGTGTCCAATCTTTCAGCATGACAGTCCAAACTTCATAGAACGTGTAAATGGGTCATTAGGTCTCTGATCTGAAAGCTCCTGTGACAAACTATGACCCACCCCCCCACACACACCCTCCCACCACCTCAGGGTCTCTCTATGTAGTCCTAGCTGCTTGAAACTGGCTATGTAGATCAGGATGGTCTCTGATTCATGGAGATCTGCCTGCCTCTGTCTCCAGAGTGCCAGGATTTAAGACATGTGCCACCAGTCTGGACCTACTTATCTCTTTTTATATTATATTGGTCATGATCCTGATGATGGGTAGGGAAGGGCTTGCTGCCTTATTTGTCCCTATACAGTTATGTGACTTATAATTAGCTTTTCAACTGAACTCAAAAGATACTGGAAGGGGTCCGGCAGTGTAGCAGAGCATGCTTGCCTAGCATGAGCATGTGTGAGGCCTTCTGGGTTTTTAATCCTCAGCACCTCTCTCTCCTTCTCTCTCTCTCTCTCTCCTTCTCTCTCTGTCACACACACACACACACGATTCCAGGCTAAACAGAGAAACAGTGAGACCAGGCCTGGCCCAAAAGGAAGGAAGGAAGGAAGGAAGGAAGGAAGGAAGGAAGGAAGGAAGGAAGGAAGGAAGGGGGCAAAAAGGAAAGAGGGAAGGAATAAAAACACTGGCACTGCCTGTGTTCCCATAACTTGGGAAGTTGCAGGGGTAGCATTTCCAGTGTGAGGTCAGTCATGATTTTGGTCAAACTCTTTTCTCAAGGACTGGAGAGATGGCTCAGCGGTTAAGAGCACTGACTGCTCTTCCAGAGGTTCTGAGTTCAAATCCCAGCAACCACATGGTGGCTCACAACCATCCGTAATGAGATCCTATGCCCTCTTCTGGTGTGTCTGAAGACAGCTACAGTGTATTCACATACATAAAATAAAAATAAACCTTTAAAAAAAAAGCTTTTTCCGCCAGGCGGTGGTGGCAGACGCCTTTAATCCCAGCACTTGGGAGGCAGAGGCAGGTGGATTTCTGAGTTCGAGGCCAGCCTGGTCTACAGAGTGAGTTCCAGGACAGCCAGGGCTATACAGAGAAACCCTGTCTCAAAAAAACAAAAAATAAAAAAATAAAAAAATAAAAATCAAGACTTACATTTATGGTGGGTTTTGTTGTTGTTGTTGGTTTTGAGTTTTGTTTTTTTTTTTACTCAGTTGCACAGGAAGGAGCTGGACAACATTTTAGATGAAAAGGTTCAGATGTCAATCAACAAATTCAATTCAGTTGCCACTTTAGAATGTCAAGTGGAGAGAGAAAGAGAGAGAGAGAGAGAGAGAGAGAGAGAGATCATAATCTCACTGTGGATTTCTATCACTAGTGAGAAGGCTAGGCTTTCACTAGTGAGAAGGCTAGGCTTGACAGGCTTCAAACTGACAGTTAAGGAGACAAGGCCTAAATCTCTGTTTCCAAGAACTGGGTAAGTTCAGGCAAGTCCAGGCCTCAGATGCTTCAGCCACCTGGCCTGAGGCAAAGTCAGCAGCAGTTTCCAGACTTCCTCAGCTACTTCCACAGCAACAGTTTCCAGACCTCCCCAGCAAGTTTCCAGCCCCCACACCCTGTAATGGAGTGTTCATAGAGACGGACCCCGTAGATTAACATAGAGATCACCCGGAATTTTCTAACGTGCGTTAAGCCAGGCCTGCAAGCTCACTTGGTTGTCTTTCTATTCTGGTAATGGGAGACTCCAGCGTGCTGGACTTCTTCAGAATAAAACACTCTTTGGGTTTAGATACTATTTGAGTCTGGGGTATCATTCTTTGGTGAATCATGACTGTTAGCATGGGTGGTTCAGTGCTAGAATTCTCACCTGCCATGCGGGAGGCCCGGGTTCAATTCCCGGTCAATGCACCAGTGTTAGATGTACACATGAGGCTTAAAACAGACACACCAGACCAAACAGTTCCAAGGGGGGGGGGGGTTATTCAGAAGATAGGGCAAAGATGGGGGGGAGAAGTAAAAGAAGAAGATGGAAGAAGAGAAGAAGAAGAGAGAGGAAAAAGATAGATAGGTCAGGTGGTGCTGCCTGTTTTATATAGGCGGTGATGTAGCCTCTCCCAGGTAAAGGTGAGGTAGCCAGGTGGATTCTGGGAATGTATGGCGGTTGCCTTGGAAATGATGTGGGGGTCGCCTAGATGTGATGTCACTGGGTTTGGAGCCTGATACCAACAATGACCCTTATACTAGCTCTGGCCTTACCAGTTACGGGACATAAGGGGAAGGTAGGAAGTACTCAGTGAGAGATTGCCATGAGAAAGACCTCATACTTACAAGGTGAACGTGTATGGTGACACATGTCTATAGCCCCAGCCCTTGGAAGTGGGGGTGAGAGAAGGTGACCCCAACTGCAAAGTCAAGGGAAGCCTGGGCTACGTGAGACTCTGTCTCAAAAAACAAAAAACAAATACAAAGTTGGTCATGTCTATGATCCCACTGAAGAAGACACAGGAAAAAAAAAACCAAGGTGACGAATAATACCTTTTCTCAAATACCTCTCTGCCCCGTCAAAGGCCGACAATTTGAAATTGCCCATATTTCAACTGTTTTGATCTACAATAATATGTACTTTGCTTGGTTTGACCTGAAAGAGGGCATACATTCACCATCTTGCAGGGCTGCTGAGGGCAGGAAGAATCACCAGGTATAAGATGAGAGAAGAGTCGAGCAGTGGTGCATGCCTTTCATCTCAGCACAGGGGAGGCAGAAATAAGTGGATCTCTGTGAGTTTGAGGCCAGCCTGGTCTACAGGACCCTGTCTGGAGAAACAAAACAAACAAACAAACAAACAAACCAAAAAAGAAAAACCAAAAACAAGTTGGGGTGACCCACAAATATTGTATTTTCTGGCAATAAAAAAAGTGTTCTAGCCGGGTGGTGGTGGTGGTGCACGCCTTTAATCCCAGCACTTCGGAGGCAGAGGCAGGCGGATTTCTGAGTTCGAGAGTTGAGGCTAACCTGGTCTACAGAGTGAGTTCCAGGATAGCCAGGGCTACACAGAAAAACCCTGTCTCAAAAAAAACCAAAAAAAAAAAAAAGTGTTCTGTGTTTCAGTACTTATTTGGAGGCCGCAACACCCGACTAGGAGGATGTATAAATGTCACTTTCTCACCTGTCTCTAGAAGTAAGGCAAGCTGTGGGGAAGGTGACCTTCCCTTCCTCAGCCCACTACACAGAGCAAGGAATGTGACTTTTGCATAATAAAGAGATGGCAGCAGAAGTTGGCTCAGGAAGTACTGGGCAGAACTTCCCGGAAGGCAGATTTGCAGAGAGACATGGAAGGAGGCAGAAGAGACACTGGGTGGAACTCGTGGAGAGAGAGATGGAGAGACAGAGAAGGAGGAGTAACTAGCATAGACGAAACACTTGTATAATCTCAGCACTTCGGAGTTGCAGGTAGGAAGTTGGTAAGTTTGAGACCAGCCTAGGCTTCACAGAAAGACCTTGTCTTAAAAAAAAAAAAAATAGTATTATATCTGAATTCCTACACCAAAGTTAATTTACCAATGGCCTTGCTAGGTGAGATAGTATATAATTCTCGTCTACTTATTTCATATATATATATACTTATGTGTATATGTATGAGTATTTATTATATGTGAGTACACTGTAGCTGTCTTCAGACACACCAGAAGAGGACACCAGATCCTGTTACAGATGGTTGTGAGCTACTATGTGGTGGCTGGGAATTGAACTCAGGACCTCAAGAAGAAGCGTCTTAATAGTCTTAAGGGCTCTTAACTGCTAAGTTATCTCTCCAGCCCCCTCTTCTACTTATTTCTAAAGGAAGTCATTTCCCAGTTCCCCCGACTAACTTGGCTTCCCAGCCTTATTCTGGAAAAACAGTACAAACCAAATCAAAAACCAAACACACGCTGAACTTCATGATAGGACCATATATTTGACTATTTCTTTTTTTTTTTCCCTATGATGAGGAAGAAATGCAGGACCTTGTGCGTGCTAAGCATGTATTCTACCACTCAGAGCAGGCCAGTCTGATCAGAGAACCCTTTGAGAACCCAGCTTTAAAAAATGTGGGCCTTCTTCCAAGAAGAAAAGCATTTAAAAACAGCATCCAAGTTCCTAGGCTCCAACATCCTTCTGTGGAATACAGGTTATAAGAAAGTTCTTGTCATTCTGTAATCCTGCTTTTCCACTCATGATATAGTCTAAGAGGGCAGGTGTCTGCCTTTGGCCCCAGCACTAGGGAGGCAGGAGCGGGTTGATTTCTGCAAGTTTTAGGCCAGTTTGGTCTACATGGAGAGGTCCAGGCCATCCAGAACTGGCAGAAAGAGGGCTGGGGAGGACACAGCTTCGATCCCCAGCGCCCTCATCATTGCCCATAACCATGTGTGACTCCAGTTCTCGGGGATCTGATGCCCTCCCTCTTCTGGTCCCTGTGGACATCAGACATGCAGGCACACAGACATACATGGAGGCAGACCAATCACAGGTGTAAATTTTAAATAGAACAGAAGCTCTGGGTGCAGGAAGGAGAGATAGGTAAACAAGGAGGAAAGATAGACTAGCTAGCCGGATATGAGGGGAACACTTATAATCCTAGCACTTGAAAGGCTCAGGCAGAAAGATCACGTACTTAAGACCAGTGTGGGATACACAGAGAACCCCTGTCTGAACAATAAAATTGGCAGATGAATTAAGGAACAAGAAATTCCATTAAAGGATCAGGAAGACAAAGAGGCACAGCAATGCTGGGCTGAACTTCATGATATGACCTATGTTTGAGTATTTCTTTTTCTTCTTCTTTTTTTCCCCCTGTGATAAGGAAGGAATACAGGACTTATTGACAAAGCCTGGTGTCTCCAGACTTTGATTTTCTTTTCAGACCGTGAGACTTAGGGCTCCAGCCTCATGACTTTCTTCTCTCTATGGCTTGCTTGCCGCTCCACCCCACTAGGCAGCCCTTCTGGAAACTCTGAAGCTCTCTTTCTTCCAGATGGAAAGCTCTGGAAAGGATGTCCTGGCTTGTGCGCAGTAACTCCACTCCCTTTGTCAAAGGATAACGCTAAAATTGACTTTCCTGGAAACCAGTTAATGTGTTTAGGAAGCTCAGCCCTAGTTTAGGAGAGATTGGAACCTTTAAATAATGGAAAGTTTAAAAAAAAATAATTCTCAAGCCAAGCATAGTGGTGCACACCTTTAATCTCAGAACTCTATGCAGCGTCGGGTGGATCTCTGAGTTTGAGGCCAGTCTTGTCTACAGGGAAGTTCCTGGACAGGCAAGACTACATAGAGAAACCCTATCTTGAAAATACTAAAACCAAAACAACGACAGAAAAGAAAAACAAAACAAAAAATTAAGAAAGAGAGGGGAAAAAAATCACTCTTAGCATCCATGGCACAAGAATCTAACCTCCAGTCTCTTTTTTTTAAATTTATTTATTTATTTTTTTTTTTTGGTTTTTCGAGACAAGGTTTCTCTGTATAGCCCTGGCTGTCCTGGAACTCACTCTGTAGACCAGGCTGGCCTCGAACTCAGAAATCCGCCTGCCTCTGCCTCCCAAGTGCTGGGATTAAAGGCGTGTGCCACCAACGCCCGGCTAACCTCCAGTCTCTTAAAATGTCCCCTCAGCATGGCAGACTGCTACGCTAGTCTGTTTTTGACAACCTGCCTAGGAGGATGTACATGTCTAGCTCACATGTTACACAGGACAAATAGCGAAATGGACATATTAGGTCAGGAACCATAAGACAATTGATTCTTTTTTTTTTTTTTTTTTTTTTTTTGGTTTTTTGAGACAGGGTTTCTCTGTGTAGCCCTGGCTGTTCTGGAACTCACTCTGTAGACCAGGCTGACCTCAAACTCAGAAATCCACCTGCCTCTGTCTCCCAAGTACTGGGATTAAAGGTGACAATTGATTTTCTATTGAAGCTACAGAAGTTAATTTGGCAACATAAGAAAGAACATTTTTATAACGTCCAGAAAGCCAGCATATCAGTATGGTCCATGAGTAAGTCAGTAAAGGAAAAGAATGTAATTTAGAGTTGGGTTGGGACACCTGAGTTATGTGCCTAGATAAGGCCCTGAGTCACTGTGTTACTTCCTGGCCCCATCTTCCCCTCCCCCTTCTCCTGCACAATTTCTTTTATATATTTTTTTTTCTTGATAAAGTTAAGCGTGATTGTTTAAAGCTATCTGGAAAATACCAAATCCTTAAAATAACAATATAAGATGGGCTTGTTCATTTTTTATGCGCTAGTACAAACTTTAAATTTATTGTGGTTCTCAGATGGGAATTAAATGAGTAGGTAGTATGTTTCCGCTTCTTGGGTGTCTCCTGTCTGAGCTGACACAGCCATGTGGCTAACGCAGAACCCCGGAGAGATACTTGGAGAGATATAACTGAGGAGCACCCAGCTAGGACAGAGAATGAGTCAGGGCTCAAGGACGCGATACCAACTTCTCCCACTCCTGCCAGGAAAATTCTGGGGTGAGACAGCAAAGGCAGAAGCCAAAGGGGGCGGGCCTGTCAGCTGCCTACCCTGGGGCCTCTGCCTTGTGGTTTCACCCCGGGCTGCCCTGCGGCTGTAACGTGTCTACTGACACGCAAGCCCTGGACACTGTCCCTCCCCCTTTCCCAAACCTTCACTGGTTTAGGAATCTCCAAAAGGGAACGGAGGAGGGAAGAGAGGGAAAGGGAAGGCCAGTGCTAGGCAGCTATGTGGCAGCTCGGGAAACACAAGGCAGAATCAAAGACGGTTTTTACGGAGGTGTGAGTGGGAAGTAGATATTTAACTCACCTCCATGAAAACCAAGATAAAAGGGAGGAGCAACATGTTTAGGCTGCCGTGGTGATGCGATGTGACTGAAGGACCAGCCGGAACAAGCAGTG